TTTAAGAACCACCTGGGTCGCACTCGAGGGGTGGGGGGCCTGCTATGATGCAGTTTACTTGGCATCTGAAAATACATTTCCTCAAAGGTATTTTTGATCTGAAAAGAGCTTCACTGAGTGACAACTAATGTTGAGAGCTCAGCAGACAGTTTAAGTTTCACTTTCACTTTCACCCAAGAGCCTGCAGGAGTCATGGGCGGGGTGTGAGGGGAAGGAGGATGGGGGGTGCTCTGCCATGAGGAAGCTTGGCTTAAAGACACGTCCCAGGGGCATTTCTGGTACCAAAAGGCGTTTCTGGTCCCCACCTGTCGTTTTGCTCCTCAGCATGGCTTTCTAAAAACACTGCAGGATTTTATCAAACATGCATGCATGAGTCAAAGCAAGGCTAAAGGCATGCTTTTAATGAGAGTATAACATTATAACATGATATAAAACTCAAAAAAGATGATTTTACATGATATTGCCCCTTTAAGAACCTCCTACTGTTTCAGACACTCCCACTTCATCACATTTTCAAACAATGCTTTGGGGGGAGGGTTGATCTGTGGGGTGGGAGCTTAGCTGCATATTGAGCTCCAGGGAGGAGCTTYATACAGATAGGTGGTGCTTTGTACCAGCAAGCGTTTAGGCAGCTCCACATGGCTAACACAGGAAATTCAAGGATTTCTCAAACATGCATGAATGAGTCAAAGCAACACCGATGAGGTGATGACATCATAACATGATTTACACCTCAAAAAAGTTTATTTTGCACAGTACCCTTCCCTCCTTTAAATTATCTCATAAAATCAAAGTGACTGAGAGAAACAATGTTTGCTACTGATGATTTTTTTCCAGCCCAAAGAGCATTAAACCATCATGTTGAATTTCTTTACATCCCTTGYTCATCTCATGGTGTTATAATTTCATAACACTTCATTTTATRCACTCTGCTTTACAAGAAGCATTAMAAATTGAAAACACCTTATTAAAATACCTGATGTCACAGTCATTCTCATATTTTTGACAGTTGTACCATTATAACAGAGCAGTTTAATGCTCTGGTATATGATCTAATTGTTTGTTTACCTGCTTTCCAGACTTGTTTGCATAAATGCTTTCCTCGAATGACATTTTTGATGAATAACACAGTAAATTCGCTGCTGCTAAAACACACTTGAACCACCAAAGGTGAAAGTACATCATAAGTGATACTGGTTTCGTGATTAAAAATTCTGAGCTACAAAAGCAAACAACTGTAACAATGTTGTAAGAATGTGATGCAAAACCACAGCGACTGTTTGAATGGAAGCCTGCAATTGAGAATTATTCATCTGCATTCACAGATAAGAAATATGCATAAATATGATTATAAAACGCAAAAATTCCAAACGATTTGTAATCTTGAGTCACTGTCATTAGTTTTCATTCTTTGGGCAGACTAAATGAGGATTTCTTTTGCAAACGAAGCTTTGTTAAAATCTTCATAATTGAACTGAAATCCCAGCTTTACTCTGTGCTTTCACAGACAAAATATGCAATTATTTGAATACGTCTTTAGTGTTTTGTTTTCTCTTCCAGGACGTACCCGTTGTTCCTGACAGGAGACGAAGGTCTGAAACCCCGGCGCCACTCCGAAGCCCAGCTGGTCTATGAAGGGCGGCTCATCCTGGGTGTGAATCTGAACTTTGATCCCTGCTTCAAATGATGTCTCATCTGTTGACAGTAAAAGGTTAGGACAGTTACAACTGGGATGACGATTTGTATGCACACATCGGCCTTACACCATCTTACCAAAAGCTGTCGCTATGGACCAGATGGAGCTAAAGCTTAGCAGAGTCGGAATGTGTCTGAGCTTGGGAGAGGAAAAACAAACTGGAAACCAAAAGGGACAGAAAATCCTATTTCAGTTGGAGAAAACCAGTTTTGAGCTCTGATTGCTTATTCATCAAAATCCAAATGATGTTATACACCACGACTTTTCATGAATGACAAACTCTTTGTGGTCTTTTGGGAGTTGATACTATCTAGAATGAGGAGTGAAAGGATAAATTATAGATTAGTTGATGACAATATTTACTCCACAGGAGGCTTTTTACCGTGAGGGGACGTCATAAGGAAAGTATAAATTAATAAATAAATGATGATGAGGATAAAAGAAAATCAATACAGCTGAGAGGTTTCTTCCCTACAGCTCTCTGATGTATGGATTTTGAATCAAGCAGATGGGCCTGTTTAMTTCTGAGTTGGTGGGGGGAAACTCAAACATATACACTTCTGCAAACATATTTCTATCACAAGTGCAGTGACCTAAAAATACTTATTGCTGTGATGGCAGGTTGGATTCCAGAGATTTAGCTCCTAAGAGAGCCGGCTTGGTGATAAAGTAGGATGTCTGTTTCCCGCCGCCTTTTCTCTCCTYGCTTGTCACTTGGTATCATCATCTAAGTGCAAGGCTTCCTCACTATTTTCAATTAGGGAGCGTGGAGATGTGGCTGGAATTCAGCAAGAAAGCCTCAACRAAATGTGACAGATTTTAACTCTAACATATTGCTCTAGTGAGACTGAATATCAAGCCATTTTGTSATGCTGCCAAAACAAATGCCCGAGGCTTAGAGCTGCACATTTAATAGGAAGTGGCCCAACCTCTCAGTTTAGAAAACTACAGGCCATCTTTAAGTCATGGCCACCCATCGCTTTTATAAAAATCATTTATTTCACTTTTTTATGTAGAAAAAAATCCTAGGTTTGAAAAGAGAATTTCTCATGTGAAAAGCCAGTAATGCCACAGATAGTTAATAAAAGTGCAATCTCGAGGGATATGAGCAGTGGTGGGCACAGTTCCCGTAAAGCCCTAATAGGGGAACTAATTTCCTGATTAGTGCTTTAGGGCATTTACTAATTTCTTAATTCATTAGTGGTTTAGCACTTGCTAAATTTATAAGCACTAATTGAGTTCTTTAAATATTATTGATCAACATTATTGTCAACAGCTGAGGGTGAAASCTGTCAGATGTAYTGATCAAATGCGAGTCACTTCTCCACTAGATCAGTGGTTTTCAACATTTTTGCTTCTGACCCACAAAACAGCTGCAGACACTTGTGACCCCATTTGTTACTTGTTTAAGTAGCTAATTTTGCTAATATCTCTGTTAAATATGGGAATAATAACTACAAACAAACCTAGTAACTTTGATACAAATTTTTATTCATTTATGATTATTTAAAAGAAATTGCAATAATCACAATTAAAATATTCCATTAGCATTTTTTTTTGCATTTAAACTGATGTCTGGAAATCACCTTGGGACCCCCACTTGTGGCCCACAAAGAGGTCCCGACCCTAACTTTATGAAGCACTACACGAGATGAAATATTAACAACATTCTGCACACAGAAAATATTGTCTCATGTTGACTCTGAGGAATGTTCCATGGGTCAGCTGGGTTTTTAGTGCTTTAGAATTAGCTTTTGCTAAATTTTTAAGTGTGTTAGTGCTTTAGAATTAAGGGAACTAAATATTAAATTTAGTAGGGTTAGTGCAACTAATTTTTAGATTAGTGCTGCTCACCACTGGTTATGAGTCCAAAATATGCTACAACCCACAAAAATTGTATATTTTTGAGTTTATTTGATCCTCTGAAGCTAAAACAAACTAATTGAAGTTTAATTTGTATTTATTTAATTTTTTTATTTTATTTTCCATTATGTTTGATCAGGACCATATTGATGCTGTCCTCAGTTTATTTACTAGGCTTTTAGCATTTTGATTTGCCCAGATTATGTCAACTTTACATTGAAAACTCCTGATCTGCATGCAACAATGTGTTTTAGGCTACATCGTGTTTGTGTGAAGCGCTTTCCTGTTCTGTCAGAATCTGAGCAGACAGTTTCTGTACATGTCAGGACTCATCAGGCTCCATCTGTCTGTCGCCATACCTGTAGATATGAGTGAGCGCATTGGAAGTCATGCATGCAATGTGCAATTACGCTTTATGAAACAATATTACAAGCTGCACACATTGCTTATATTTCAGATCTCAAGTTGTTACAAATATTTGTCATATTTTATTTGATTTTTATTTTATTTAAGGATCCTCATTAGTCTTTAACGTAGTAGAGACTATTCTTCCTGGGTGCACCTCATAAACATCACAATAAAATCATGCTAATTTGAACTATCATTTATGATTTCTGCCACTCCGATGAATGCTGACCTTAGTTTTATGTCTAAAAAAGTCAATATGTGCTGTTGGTTTAGCACCGGTGAACTCTGCAGATTTTCCTCTTGTGAAATCTTCTCTTTTAAAACAAACTTAGATAACAATATTCCAACTTTCTGCAGACTATTATTTTCATGGCTGGAATTGTGAAGAGGGTTTTATTTACTATCAAACAAGCCTGGGATCACCCTTCTTTATCTTTTAGGGGTTTTTTATGCTGCTGAGCTCAGTGTGTGTTTTTTTTTTAGTTTTGCTTCTCTCATCTTGCTGCTATCTGGTGGATTTGTGTAGGCATGAGCTGAACTGAATAACAAAAGAAAGACCCCACTTCACCTGCAAAGAGAGATTTTTGTTTTGTGACCTCATGTGAGTTCACAGCAGCAATCAAGTCCAGACTGTGAAACATCTTCTCCTCATAGTGGATCAGCCACTCTTGTTTTCTGTGGACRTCCGGGCCCGCCATGTTCTGAGCTTCTCAATCTCATGCTGYTGATATCTGGATGTGTATTTTGTTRWTGTTTTRCAGTCTAAGTTTGRATTATTTTATTTTAAATCAGAGCTCTTTGGAGATTCCAACTTCATTACTTTACTTTCTGAACTGATAAAGAAATACTGAAAGCTAGCTTTTGAATAAAATTCTAAATGAAAAAGTAACTACGTAAGTCCTATTTAGTTAAACGTCTTCATATATTATAGAGTATTTATTGCATATAAAAAAGTCCAAAAGTGTGTTTCAGTTTAATTTCAGTTTTWACTTCTTGGGACACCAAAGATGGTTTGAACAGAAGCTCTAAATAGTATTTGGATGTGTTTAAAAATCATCTGAATTTCACAGAATAAATAAACAGAATTTTGTCCAGAGCAAAAAAAAAGTTATTAAATTATGAAAATTAATTAAGAAAGACATAATGAGGATAACATATATTTTCATATTTCTATTTTCTCTGCATTTTTTCAACATTGAAAAGCATTTGGAGTGGCAGTGTAGAAAACTGACTCCACATTATAGACAGCAAAACATTCAAAGCTGACATTTTCTCCATAAAATCCCAAAGGTGCTCTGTGAGATTTGGGTCATGGCTCTGGAGGGTTATTCTGAGACTTTTTTTTTATTCCCTTGAGGATATKTTTTAAACAAGTGGCTGATCCTGCTGAGAGATCCACTTCTGGAGCCTGAAACGTTCCTTGGCAGCTTTCAAGTTCCTACATAGTTCCTCATCATACCAGTGACGCAAGTTCACCTCTATATTTGTCGTAAGGGAACCCTTCCGTCAACAAGTTTATTACATCCTTTGCCTTCTCAAAATTTCTGTATGCAGTCTCTGTGAACCTTGTCTTATTTTAAACTACTTCAAATTTATAGTAACATACAAATAAATATAAAAAATAGCTGAAAGTATCAAAACTGCTGGGTTAAAGTGGAAATATCATGCAAAATCCACTTTTTTAACCATTAAATATATTTTGTTGTACTTGGAGTTTCTAGGAGTTCAGAAAAGTTTAATTTAGTGTCACTTGGTGCTGCAAAGATATCTTTATATTCTATCTGTAACATATTTTTCAACCTGTGAATTTTATTTTATACTTTATGACATTTTCTGAAATATAACGTCACAGTATTTGCGACAGAACTGCTAAATAAGGTCTGGACTTACCAAATACAATTTCATCATCATCATTCCCCTCTTCTAAGTAATTTGTAAATAAAAACTTTCTGCACTGCTATATAGTCAGAAACCCCTCGATCAAACTTCAATGGACCACTCTGGAAGTTGGAGGGGTGAGGGGTGGAGCGCATCATTTGCATTCAAAGAGACAGCCTCAAAACGAGTTGATCTGAGACACAACCTCTTTTTCAACCCTTTTCTCGTGTGTCTCTCAAAGCAGCTGGAGTTGATACTGTTTAATATGGCCTTTAAGATGCTTTAAGCCCTGCAAGTAAGTAMGAGAAAGTAGTCAATCCGTGAAAAGCTCTTATGAACAGGGGAAAAGAATGAACACCGTCTCAGGGTCGGATTTCGAAAACGCCACACGTCAACCACTCCATAAGTGTTAAGAAATGAATTAATTGACTGGGCCGATTTAGAAAGAGAGATCCTCCCCACTGTACTACGATCGAGGGATGATAGCTCACAGTTCACATCTCCCCCAATTATGAGATTATGTGTTGAAATATTAGGTAAATTTGAAAAAAAGCGTGTAAAAAATGTTTGATCATCCTATTTTGGAGCATATACCGAGACTAAAATGACAGGAAGTGCACATAGTTTTCCCACCATAATAACATAACGTCCAGCAGCGTCC